GCTGCTGCCGCCGCCGGGTGAGGAGGCGGCACCGCTGCCGCTTCTGCTGCCGCCGCCGCCCAAACTAATTTATTTTATGTAAATCCTCTGTCATTACTTCGTCTTCTTTAAAAAGTCAAAGTCGGAGTGCAGAATATTAAAATCTACTATGACAACTTTTATTTTCTTTTTTCCCCCCTTTCCAGGTAATTTCCCTAAAAAAAACCTTCTTCATATGTTTTTTTTTTTTTTTTTTTTTTTTAAATAAATCCGAACCTGGGGCCTTGGTGTTATTAGCACCGCACTCTACCGAGTGAGCCACGGGCCGGCCCTCTTCATATGTTTTGATGCCCTAATATTTCAAAGGCTCAGGTCTGTAATATCGTCCCTGCAAATTTACCTTTTACAACTAAAGGAACTCTCTTTGTTCTTTTCTAATACTTTTCATCTCAAATCCTACTTTTCTGATGTGAATATTGCTACCTGGTAGAGTTTAGATGTGTTGTCCCCCAAAGCTCATGTCGAAATCTGATCCCCAACTTGGCAATGTTCGGAGCGGTTTAGTTATGGGGGCAGATCCTTCATGAATAGATTAATGGCCTGGGGGAGGGTAGTGAGTGAGTTCTCACTCTATTAGTTCCTGTGAGAGCTGGTTGTTTAAAAGACCCTGGCACCTCCTCTCTCTCTTGCTTCCTCTTGCCATGTGATCTGCTTGTACCTGTCACTGGCTGCCACTTTCCACCATGAGTAGAAGCAGCGTGAAGCCCGTGCCAGATGCAGCTGTCCCAGAATCATGAGCCAAATAAACTTCGGTTCTTTAAAAATTACCCAGTCTCAGGTATTCTGTTATAGCAACACAAAAAGAGACTAATACATTTCCATTGCTCTGCTCTTACTTTATATTTTACATTTACAAGCAAATATGTACTTCCTTACAAATATTTGTTCTCCCTTTTCCACACACGTATTTATTTATTTATTTATTTATTTATTTTTTTTTTGAGACCGGCCACACCGCCTGAGCACAGCTGCCATCCCTATATAGGATCTGAACCCATGGCGGGAGCGCTGCTGTGCTCCCAGCGCCGCACTCTCCCGAGTGCGCCACGGGCTCGGCCCATCCACACATGTATTTAAAGCAAGACAAAAATCCAAGTCTGGGGCAGCCAGTGGCTGCTTTTGCTCCTGGTTTTTATCTCTTGTCTAGGTATAGAGAACATTTATTATGTAAAATAAGAAATTTGAGAAACATGTCTACTTTCTCCCCTACTCTATATAAACAGGAAAACAGACAGAAGGGCAGCCCAGGAGAAAAATAATAAAATCTAATTTTTCAATTCATATTGCATGGAAAATGTGCCCATGATTAAGATAACCATTTAAGCTATTAAGGTATTTTAATAGGATCAGAAGGAACAGACTGCTGTTTAGAGCAGAGGACACTGCAACTGACAACATGGAAGAACCATCTGTTGCCTACTATGGGGCTATGGGGTTAGGACAAGAGTCTGTGGATTTGTCCCACCCCCTGTTTTTATAAATAAGTTTTATTGGAATGCAGCTACGCTCATTCCTTTTTTTTTTTTTTAAAAAGATGACTGGTAAGGGGATCTTAACCCTTGACTTGGTGTTGCCAGCACCACAGTCTCCCAAGTGAGCTAACCGGCCATCCCTATACAAGGATTTGAACCTGTGGCCTCAGTGTTATCAGCACCACACTCTTCCAAGTGAGCCACGGGCCAGCCCTTACGCTCATTTCTTGACATATTATCTGTGCTGTTTTCATGCTGCAATGGCAAGAATTGAACGGTTGCAACAGAGACCACATGTCTCCCCAGGCCTACAATATTGACTATCTGAGCCTTTAAAGAGTCATTTGCAGGTCCCTGGGCCATCACATTGGCATAGAACACCAAAGGAAATCCTGGCATACATTTGTGCAGAGGCAGTAGAGCATGGTGGTGGAGGATGAACTATTTTTTTCTTTTCTTTTCTCACCACTATACTAATGAGGAGGAGCCCGGATTCACAGCTGGCAGCCCTAATTCTGAACATCCATTCTGCCCTAACCCCTTGAGTGAGACGTTGCTCTTCCCATTTTTCAGAAGAAGATAACAGTACCTAAAGTAGCACCCGCTCAATGCTCCATTTCCTCACCTGTTATGTGGGTGTAATAGTAACAGGTGACTGCCACGCAGGTGACTGTGAGGATTACATGAGACCATGCATGTAAAATCCACACAGAGGAAGTGCTCTCTCTGCTGGGGGACTGGGGGTCTCTGAAAGAGGAGAGATGAGCATCTCTTCCTAGAGTAAGGGAGGCTGGCCCAACAGGTCTCTAAATTCTTCCCTTCTCCATTCCATATTTTTCTGCCTTCCAAATCTCAGCCTTTTTTCAGACCAGGTGTTTCTCAGCCCTGCAGAGAGCGTTGAGGATACCTGGAGACCGCAGCCCAGTTTTCCAAGCTCCTCACAGGCTCAGTAAGCTTCACGTGCATGGCTCCTCACCCCCTGGGACTTTCAGGCTCAGTGCATGGGAGTGTCGGCTAAGGGGCTGGGGGGGTCCCCACCGAGCTTCACTGTGGACAGCAGCTCCGGGTGTCTGTCTGTGGGCTGCCTGGGCTAAGTGCCTGACCCCCTTTCCCAACCTGGCTTGTTTAGAGAGAAGTAAGGAAAATGAGGCTGGAGCACCTGAGTTCTACCCACATCTGCCATTGGCCTTCTAAGTCAAATGGCGGAATATCCTGTTTGCCTTGACCATCCTTAAAGGGCTGTTTAGAGCACCAATGGCCTCCTCTACCAGGTTGTGACATCTGAAAGGCAGGGTCAGCAGCGGTCCTCAGGGACAGAACAGATGCTCGAGGAACACGTGGAGGGAGAGAGAGACAGCAAGGAAGATGGGGAATCACAGACACTCTGCACAATGCATGGAACAACAAGGCACATGCGGAGGGGCCACCAGCCAAGACTATGGAGCATTAAGGAGAAGTGGTTGCAACAAGGACATACCCATCTCCGAAGTCCCAGCTGTAGAGAAAGGAGGCAGTCTTGAAGAAGCCACTTGGGTCATGGAGGAGGAAGGAGACTTTAAGTACTGTCTTGGTGAGGAAGGAGCTGGGCCAGGGCAGCGAGGTGTTCTGGGTGACAATGAGGTTCCCTACAAGGGACTCTGGGAGAGACAGAGTGAGAGGGGTGAGTCCACAGAGATGCAAGGAGCCTGGGAGTGATCTCATGGGCAGGGGGGCAAAGCAGCCACTCCCCCACCCAGACTTTCTGGCTGTCAGAGCTGGACGGGGAAAGGGGACCCTGCAGGTCCCTGAACACGGAGGCATCCAAGTCGTCTCCCTACTGCGTGGACACTGGTGAAAACTCACGGTAGGTGTTACACACATAGCTTTCACTCCTGACCCCTTTTACCAGGACCCCAAGCCTTCTGGCATGAAAGATGCCCAGGACCAGAGAGAAATAAATGCACAGGCTTTGCAAGGAAGTTATAGGAAATATTTCAAAATGTTAGATGAGCCTAGAAAAATTAGCAGTTCTACTAACTGAATCTTCACACTCAGCATGCTGGGCTGCGTCAGGCCACTGTCCTGTGTCTCTTTCGCTAAAAAAAGAAAAAATAAATGCTGATTTTTTTCCATCGCACAAGCAGAACAAGAGTAAGATGTGCTCAATAGAGCTCATTTGGAAAATGCTCAGAACTAGAATAAAAAGAAAAGAAACTACCTGTCATTCAAATATTACCCTTGTTGACGTTTTGAAGTCTTGCAAAGTATTTTTTTGTGTGTTTAATGTATACGCATGTTAAACACAGTTTATCAGGTTGGTTGTACAATTCTGTGCTTTGCTTTTTTTATATGTAATAATACAAGCATGGGTTTTACCCATGACATGACAAACTCATTGTAAGGGTCATTGTTAATAGTTGTATAAACTACTTCAATATACTTAACCCGTCCCCTTATGTTTGCATACTTAGCTTGTAGAATTTCTTTTGCTGTTATAAACAGCACTGCAACACACACCTTAGTGCATAAAGCATTACCCAAATCGAGATTATTTCCTGAAGATAAATTCTTTATTAGACTTTAAACCCCAGATGGGCAAGAGGGCAGGGACCTCTTGGAATAAGGTGGGGAGGAGAGGGATGGAGAGGGAGTGGGAGGAGGAGGAAAAAGAATCAGTGAATGAATGATGAGGCCAGCCCCAGGTATTACCATTTTCTAATCCTTTTTAACTCAACTGACAACAGAGAAGGAACCCATGGGTCTAATTTGCATCTACGTGATTACCAGTGAGGCTGGATGTTTTTCTCTGTACAGAGGGTTTGAAGGCAAATTAGCAAACAGAAAAGACCCTCACCTGTGATGGGGAGGACAACGAAGCTCCTAGCCACTGGCTGGCACATCCAGCAGTCAGCAGTAGTGACCCAGACAGAGACCGGGAAGTCCCCAGGCACATTGCTGACCACATGAATGGTTGAGCTGAGATCCTTTTCCATCTTGCCAGTGAGTACCAGCGGGGTGTGGATCCAGTGGAAGCGGTACATGTGGGCATCAGCAGGCAGGGCCAAGCTGCTGTTGTCCTTGGCCACCAGGCTAGCTGAGATGGTCACCTCTGCTCCCATGGTGGCAGGGCCATCAGTGGTGAGATTGAGTTCATACAGGCCTAGAAGCCCAGAAACAGAGACCGTGTGTCAGGAGGGGGTGTGGCAAAGCACCCCACTACCACCTCTAGGCTGGCTTCTATTATTCTATTTTATAGGGGAAGAAACTGAGGCTCAAGTGGCTCAACTACTTGCCCAAGGATCACACAGCTAATTCATTTTCCAACTGGGATTCAAACCCGGACCTGACTTAGTCCAAATCATAGCTCTTTACAATATCACCAAATTATATTTTCTTTTCATGCCAGCCAAGCAAGGCTTTATAGAGCATGTGTATGGCTCAGGTCTGACCTCACCATAATTATACCTCAGCTACAAAAATGACCACCAGTGGTCATCACTGGAGGGACCACCATTGCCGTTCCGGCTGGACAACTGCAGCCCACCATTACTCACGCTTTTGGACAAGGCTATGTGTGTCAAACAAAATATCAAATTTGAAAGACAAAGCTGAGTCATTATTCTTCAACTATTTTAGACAGCTGCATAACATTTTATCATATAAGCAAGGTCAGATTTTAAAAATAAGGTTCATTTCTATCATAAAAGTAATACATAAGCATGAAGAATATTAGGACTGTCCCATTATCCTACTTCTCAAAGACAATGGCTTCTATTGTCATCCTCATGTCTCTTCTTCATGCATAGTTTTTATGCAGTCCTGCACACAATTTTGAATTATTTTATTTTTACAGGACGACATGTCAACAGCATGTCTATGGTCTCACTAATATCAATTTCCATATTTGCAAGATAATGCCTCCGGCAGATATATCTTAATGCTTACAACCCTTCACTCTCATCAGTAGTGCTACACTACATCTGGGTGTATGATGTTTTTCCTGTGATTTGGTTCTTTCTTCAGGTGAAATTTCTGCAGGGCATGATGTCAGAGAGTGTCCGGGCCAGGGCAGGAGAGCCCGGGCAGGCTGCAGCGTGCATCTGGGCAGAGGAGGTGCTGCAGAAGGAAGGGTGGAGGGGCTACGGGCTCTGCTCTGTTCATCTCACTCAAACCCAACCAAACTTACCCTTTCTGTGGCTTCAAGTGCCTCCTAAATGCTAATAGAGAGCAGTGACACAGCCCTACTCCCCAAGCTCTAGGCTCTGCACTAAGCAGAGCAATACAGTAGTCACTAACCACATGCAATTTAATTTAACCAGATTTAATTGCTGAAATTTAATTAAAACTAAAAGTTTAGTTTCTACATCGCGCTAGCCACATTTCAAGTGCTTAACAGCATTCGTGGTTAGTGGGTACTCTGTGTGAACAGTGCACACACAGAACACTTCTATCATTGCCCAAACTTCTACTGGACAGAGCTGGTCTTATCCCTTTGCATTTCTCCTCTCCCCAAACCTGTTTTCCTCACCCCCTCACTCTCTGTCCAGGTTAGAGGATCCAGCTGTCCCAAGAACCCCATGCTTTTGCCACTCTAACTCCTCCCATCTGGACACCTTCGCCTCCTCATCATCACCTCTAACATTGCTTAAGGCCTGCATTCAGCCCTGTCTGGATTCCTGCTCCATCCTCATCCCTTGCCTCCAGCCTCCAGTGCTGCCCCTGCTCAGACACCCCCAGCAACAAGCTTCCTGCACGGTAAATCTGCTTATCAACTGTCCTCAAGGTGGAGTCCAGCCTCACATCTAGCAACATGCATGCTGCATCCAGCCACTTTAACTCTGGCAGTCCCTCACATGTGCTAACTTTCTGGCCTCAGGGCCTTTGCACATGCCGTTCTCACTGCTAGAATGCCCTTCTAATGCCTATTCCCTGTACCCTGCATCCTCTCAGCACTCTCCCAACAGCCTGAGCCCATTGTCACAACTCCATGTTGGAACGAAGTTTTTTTGTCCCTCACAGTGCACTTTGAATTCCTTGAGGGCAGGGGTCATCTCCATCTCCCCCGTGCCCAGCAAAGTGCTTGGCACATAGTAGGTATTCAGTCCCGCTGCTGCCAAGTGGCACCTAGAGAGTAGGGTGTGGCAGAAGGACGAGTCCACCTGGCCCTGCCCCTGGAGGCTGTTCATCCTGCTGGTACTGACTGAGCCCCTTCCTTGTGCCCCATCCCCCACAGGTGCTGGGAAGACCCAGAAATGCACAACATGCTCCTGCGCTCAGAGACCTCACAGGAGACCTGTTGGACTCTCAGCAAAACTGGGAGGTGAGTGAGTTTGTCCTCAACTGCATCTGTCCTATTCACCTCACGGCAGCACTGCCTGTCTCCTCTGGGGACTCTGGCTCCAGCCTTTCCTCTTATCCATGTCACACATCGCCTGTTCTGAATCCCTTTCCTTCGGGGCCATTTCTTGAATTATAAAGTCATGTGAGTTAAGACGCAAGGGCTGCTCACGTCTGAGGAAATGCTGGCATTGAAAAAGGGACTTGCAGTGTCTTAACCCCAAAGACAGAGTTCCAGGCATTGTGCTGTAAGCTTCTCCAAGCAAATACATTGAGGGACTTGAGGCCTGCATGGGCCACTGCTGCTGCCTGGGGCTGCCCAGCAAGTCTGTGCTCTATCTCCCTTTGGCTGAGAGGAAGCATTTGGCCAGGCTGCACAGAAAGAGGTGCTTAGATGAGAGGCCACGTCCTCCCTTCTCCCTCAGACTCCCTGCACCCCCTCTGCCCCCCCCCAACATCCCCCCAGCCCTCAGTAGAGGAACATGGGCGAGAGCAAAGCTGGCAAGTGGCAGGGACATTTGGCTGCATACTAATGGCCGTCCTGCCTCTGCAGTGAGATAGGCGCATGTCAGCACCACACAGATCCGTTGCCAGGGGAATGGAATCAGGAGGGCAGCGGGCTGGGGCTGGGAGGAGGGAGGGTGGGGGTGGGAAGGGGCTGCAGCTGCTGCAGACGTTGCCACAGACACTGGCCCAGCTCCTGGGAGCCCCCCACGTGCCCAGCCACAAGGAAGCTCTGAGCGCACTTTTTCTCATGCTGCTGTCTTAAAAACAGGTGTTTCACAGCCCCGGGTGACACTGCCCCTCTTCCTCAGGGCTCCAGGGCTGAAATGGACCCTGAAGGCTTTGCCCAGAGTGGCTGAAGGAACCAAGCCCATGACCTGCTCCTCTACCCATCCAAGTTCATCTTTCCAGGTGTGGGAGCACAGGTGACATGGCCTTGGAGTACGGAGCAGCCAAGGCAGGGGATGTGGGTGTTCAACCAGCACCCCATGTGACCTGAAGATGAAGGAGCCAAAGAAAAAAGGGAAGGGGCTACTGCCCCAATGCTTGGCCCATGGAAGAAATACCCACCTACCATGTCCTCCAGGCTTCCACTTGGAGCAAGCACATTGCCCAACAACATAGCACGTGGGGCCCTGAATATTCTAGATCATTCTAGAAAACCAGCCCTTTCACACAGCATATGTAGACAGCACAAAACACTTCCCAAGGGTACCTCTTAAGTCTGGATAACATAACCTGTAGTTAATTAACAGTCCAGTCAGTACATGGATTCCCGACTTACAAACTCCAAGTGTACAAAGCAACCATGCAGGCTGACCTAGAGCCCAGGAAGTGTGGGAAAGCCTTTTGAGCCTCTATTTTTCTCCCGTGGGTGAGGCAGATGTATGTTCCTCTTTCCCAGCTACTGTGATTTTGACCATATCAAGGTTGCAATCGGCCAGCTTGGGAATCATATATGATTTCCAAAGAATTGATTCACTTTTTTTTTTTTTTTTCAATTTGGAACACAGTGATAATTTCTGGACAATTATAAACCTAATATTCTATATGAATTTCCAAGGGGAAGTGGGTAATCCTGACCAAGCACAATTCCCACAAAATTTTCCTAATTCACCCCTAAGATGCAGATTTTTATTTTACTTTGTGGTTTTTCCTTCACAAATCTGCATTAGATCCCTTCCTCTCTCTACCACTCTTTTATTGGGGGGAGGGGATGGTGTAATGAAAAATGCTGGATGATGTTTAACCCCCATAGCTGCTCACGTCCCACCCGCCCTTGACAGCTCTCCAATGGTGCTTTTATTGTTCCCAAAATGTGGCAGAAATGTTGGTGCCGGCCTCCTGGCGGTGGGGAGCTAGGGGTGGTAAAAACACGACCCGGTGGACACGGGGTGGGCTCCGGAGGAACCTCTCGGCTCAGGAACCATTTTGAAAATCACTTCCAGAGAGGAAATGGCACTCTGGCCTCCTGGGCTCTACAATCGCATGACCCCAAAGCCAGCCCAAACAAGGTGGAAAAGCTCTCCAGATAAGACGACATTTAAAGGCAAAAACGGTGCTTCACGCGCGGGCAACCTGTCTGCGCTCCTTGGGGGGCTGTGGCGCAATGACTGACCCTGGCACATCCCGGTGTCCCCGCATCGTCCTCCCCTCCCCCAGCGTGTGCAAGGTCCTCAGACATCCATACAGATGCGCCGGCCACCCCGCGTGGTTTCCAGGGCAGAGCCGACCCGCGGGTGAAAGCAGGAGCCGAGGGGCGTGCGGGTCCCCCTCGAGTGCCGGGGCGACTTCTGGGGAGAGGGGTGAAGGGCAAGAGGAGAGGTTGTCGTTGCGCCCGCCGCGCCGCAGTGGCCTCGGGGAGGAGGGAAGTGTGCGTAGGGCGCACGGCGCCACCTCCGCAGCCCGGTCTCCGGGTTAGCCCACCCGCCGGAGACGGCCCCAGGCCCCGGGGGGCTGCGGCTGCGGGGAGGGTGGGCGCCCGGGCTGCCCAGCGCCTTACCTGCGGCCACCCTAGCCGGGGCTAAGGGCAGGAGGCAGGCGAGCCAGAGGATGCGGCCGAGGCGCGACCAGACGGCAGGGGCCATGGCCCGGCCGGGAGCGGAAGGAGCGCGGAGCTGACGCCGGGGGAGCGCGGCTCGAGCTCGGTGGCGTCGGCGGCCGCTCCTCGGGG